TTTCAAAGTCACACAGTAAAGGGTGTGGTTACAGGGTGGGGTGAAGAATTGGGGTCACTGTTGTAATCTGCATTAGGTTAACTGCATATCTTAACCAAGTCTATCTGGACCAAGGGCCAGGGTATCAGAGGGAGAACTCAGGGCACAATTTAATTATTTGGGCCAAGGTAACAGCTTCTCCAAGTTATAGCAGATGTTATAATATTGGAAATAAATCCTTTGCAATTTACATTAAGTGCTCAGCTATCTGCACACTTACATATCTAGTTGCCTTATCAAACCTTCACAAGTTAAGGTAACTTTTATTGTTGCCAAGAGTTAACTGATTTAGGCAAAGAAACTTGCTGAAATCCACACAGACATTAAGTGAAGAAAAGCAGGACTGGAAACAGAATATCTGATGCCAACTCAGGTGCTTCTATTCACCATATCAGCTCCTCTTTGGTTGTTTTGATTATCAGGAATTTCTAAAAAGAATGTATTTTGGATGTGAAATGTTCTAATTCAGACATAAAGATGGGCTGTAAATGAACTTGCCATAAACATCAGCCCTCTTCCTGCCAATGCTGCTGCTTTCTGCAGTAGCAGAGCTTCCCAGTATCACCAGCTGATACTGAAACAGATCCCCCAGCCTGTGCTCAATCAGGCCTGTTTGTCTAAAATTGCAAGGGCTCAATCTGAGACCAAAACTCAGAAGTCAGTGGCCCAGATGGGGCTTCTGCCATGCTTCACAAGAGCATGGTACAGGGGAAAAGGCAAATCAGACCCACCTCCCAGCACTTAGTACTTTAGTTTTTGGACAGGAGGCTCACTTTATTATTTGAATGTATTTGAAAACATTTTGTTTACAACAAGAAGTAAATGTAAAACACGACTATTGTAGGAGTTTAGAAAAAGGAGCACACATTGAGGGCTGGGTTGGTGAGGAAAGCTTTTCCAAAGGAAATGAGGTCACTCTTTCCTGGGGGAAAAGTGAGGGGGTCATCTCCTTTCTACCACAAGGCTGAACAATCACCTACACCCATGTGCCCTGCAAAAAGTACTATTATTTCCTTGCTGGGCTCAAGAACACCCTTTGGCTTCTGGGAAGTCCACTCTCCTCTCGCCCAGAACTCCAACTTAGCCTCTCTGGACGCTATCCACGCTGTCCCAAACTTTGCCGGGCCAGTGGTCACCCTGCCTACCTGAGCATCTGTTCTCTTCATCCGCCATTCCTTTCTCAGGTGTAGCCCTGAGTGCCTGGACAGCGGCCTACCGAGCCCTGGCAGGTCTCAGAGTTTGCCTCTCCCAACTGCGGAGCCTAGGACGCTGGGAAACTGTCTGTGCCCCTGAGGAGTGGGGGCAAGATGCGGTCGTGTTTTCAGCCACAGTGCGGTCTTCATCGGATTTCGGAGAAGCCAGTCTTGGATTTCCTCGTCCCCGCTCCCTGGGCAAACGCAGCATTTCCATGGGAAGCTCGAATTGGGGTGGGGAGCTGGCTCCCCTCCTCTGCTCGCTCCCCTCGGGCGGGCGGGGTGTCTGGCGCCGAGCGCGCTGGAGGAGGCCCTGGAGGGGGCGGGCCAGCCGGCGGGGCTGCCCTCTCCGCAGTGACGTCCCAGAGGGCGGAGGGGCGACGGACTGGCTCCGCGCCCTCCCCGCCTCCTCTGGGCGCCGGGTCCGTCGGTCCTCTGGAGATGCTGCTGCCGCCCGCCGTTGAAGTTGCGGGGCACGCCGCTGCCGGTCTTCCCGCTCCACCGCCTTAGCGCCCCGGCGTCCGAAGGCGCACCCGAGCCGGGCCATGCAGCCGGGAGCGGCGCTGCAGGCCGTGCTGCTGGCAGTGCTGCTGGCAGGGCTCCGGGGCGCGACGGGTCGCCTGCTAAGCGGTGAGTGCGCGCGCGCTGGGGCGGGGGCTGGTTCCCGGGCGCTGGGCTGCGGCACCCACTGCACCCCACCTAAGGCTGACCGTCCTTAGGGCCACGGTGCCTCTTCTCTGGCCCTCCGCGGAGTGGGTGGAGGGGTGGCGCCCCCGCCCCACCAATGGACTTAGCCCTGCGGCGGCCCCTACTTCTAGAGGGGCAATCGCCCGGCTGCTGAGCCTAGCGCCGGTTCCCTGCGTGTCCTGGACCGCGCGAAGTCCGTTCCCCGCCCAGGGCTGCCATAATACCGAGAGACGTAGGCTAGATGGGGCAGTGAGCAAACTGCCCCAGTAGGCGCCCCCTCGGTCCGCTCCACTGAGAGCGGCGCAGTAGTCCCCGGGACCCCCACGCAGGGCTTGTCCTGCCCACCAGGGAGGTCTCCTGTCCCGGGAGACGGTGCGTACAGTAGGGATTCTGGATCGGCTGTGCCGTGGGAACCCCAGCCCGTTACTCCTGGTCTCTTCTGGGAGGAAAGGATCCAGCGCCTGGAATAAGAGCGCTTAGAGATCGGGAAAGAAGCCTAGTTAGCGCGGGGCAAGCCCCGCCTGACTCAGGGGAATGACTCTCTCTGCTTCCTTCCTCCTGTCGTGTCACTGCAGCTTCGGACTTGGACCTCAGAGGAGGTACAGTGCTCTGGCTCCTTGCCTCTTCCATTTGTTCTGCATGTCGAGACGGGGCGGTGCGGGGTGGGGGGCGGCGGAGGGGATGTCCGTTCCCCTGTCTCAGGTTTCCTTCGCAGGCAATAGATTGGCCAAGAGGGATGGAGAGGAATGAAAACCTCCGCTCCGTTATCGGTGCTTCCGAAGCTGATTGAAGGAATCTAAAGTTGGTTTCAGGATGGGGTGGGGTGCAGGGTGGCAAAATGGGAGGGTAACCGAATTCAGCTGTTTGGGTGACGGCTGCACGGGCTCTGTCCTCGGTGGCCGCCCTTCCCCTTCCTGCAAATGAGAGGAGAGAAACACTTCCTGAAGGCAGGGGGACCAGATGCACCCTGGGCCTTCTTCCAGCTCTGGCTCCCTCTGGCACTCACTGGCTGACTTGGGATGTGTGGCCAGGCTGGGCCATACAGGAAACTCGTTTAAGGTGTTATGTTTTCCCTTGATAATCCAACGATGGAAAAGTGGGGACTGCCAGTAAATTCAACTCCACCTTGGGGGTGCCTGGGGCTCATTTGTTTTTCCTCTGCTGCCTCTTTTGGAGCCACCTTTAAGGACTCATAAAGCTGAGCTGACCCAGCCTTCTCCCCAGGGAGCATCTCAGCCACAGCTTCTCTGGCCAGTGGTCCCTAGTCTCTCTGGAACACCTCCTTAGCGAGAATGTCCCACTTTTGAGGCCTCCTAATTTGCTGATGGAGCAGTCCTGTTAGAATTTCTCTATTCAGCAAAAGGAGAAAAGTGACAGAAAGGGAGAAGAAGCAAAACTTTTACAACTTGTTTATTGAAAATTTCTTTACAAAGGCGATGAAAGAAGAAACTGAAAATAAGAATTCACAGGGGCTTTCCAGATTATCTGTATGTGCTCTGTTCCCATTTAAGCACTGAAAATGCAGTTAACTGCCTGTGGCCTTTTGCTCTGTATTCTGGACAATTTGGGGAATAACTAATGCTATCTGGCTCTGTGCACAGTTGCAAAACAAATTAGGAAAATGAGAACATTCTATGAGAGCTGGGAAGAGTTTCCCAAACTAAAATCCTTTATTCCTCGCTCTATGGCAGTAATTCACGCCCACAGCCCACAGACTGGCTCTGCATTGCAAGGGATTCCCCTTGTTGAAATCTGGTTTTCACTGTACATCTGGATCCAGAAACATGCTGTGTGTTCCTGTGGGTTAGGAAGCGGCAAGTGTTTCTGTATTCCCAGCACCTAGCACAGTGCCAGGCATGAGCGTACATGCAATACATACTGACTTAACGAAGGAGCGATGAGGCTAATGTTTTGGGTGCAGCACGGCTTTAGACACCCAGACACAAGCCAGGGTGGTGTGTACTGGTGAACGATTTTTTATCCGTCCTCAGTAGAATCTCATCCATTTGTCCTTGATGGTCTTCAGCCCTTCGGGTGTCGGTCAGATGAGACATATTACATGGGCTCCCAGTGCAACCTGAGCCTGTGGTGGCGTGGGGAGCAGAGTTCAGTGGTTATGGCTGTGACTTTGTAATCAGATCTGGGTTCTGACTCAAGTCATGCTATGGATAGCTTATGTGGCCTTAGCCAGACTAATTTCTCTGAGCCTCAGTTTTCTCATCTGTAAAATGGGGCATAAACAATATCTACAACAGTGGATTACTATGAGTGTTCAATGAGATAAGGTATGTATGTAAATGCAAAAGCCCTTAGCATAGTACATGACACACAGTAAGAGTTCACCGAACTTTAGCTGTTGACTTTAGGCAAGACCAGTAGCAGAAAACCCCATGGATCTGATGCTTTTATCTTCTGCTTATACCGTAGACTGGGTGAATATTCAGTCCTGCTATTGATACATACGCAGAGGGTTCCAGGGTAGAGGAGCCCACGCCTGACTTCAGAATGCCTCTCTTACCTGAAGGAACCCCCAAACAGAGATAACTCACTTTAAGCCACACTTAGTCTCCTGCGACTCCCTAATGGCATGGAAGTGTTATTTGTTTGCCTTTAAGTGAAACCATAAATCTTCATCTACCTCTCTTTTAAAGATTAATTTTAAATGTCTGCTTTTCAATAATCTGTAATGGAACAAAGAAAACATGGAGTCTAAATCACTGTGTCTCCACACTGGAAGGGGTATTAATTTGCTCTGAGAGCTTAATGACACTAAAACAAGCCACTGATGAGTAATCAGAATTCCTGAAGCTTCATTCAGATGCCTCCAAGCGTCCCTGCTCTGGTATATGTTGGGGGCACTAAAATAGGTAGGCTTCTTTTTTTCTCTAGGTCAGCCAGTCTGCCGGGGAGGAACACAGAAGCCTTGTTATGAAGTCATCTACTTCCACGATGCTTCTCGAAGACTGAACTTTGAGGAAGCCAGAGCAGCCTGCAGGAGAGATGGGGGCCAGCTAGTCAGCATCGAGTCTGAAGATGAACAGAGACTGATAGAAAAGTTCATTGAAAACCTCCTGGCTTCTGATGGTGATTTCTGGATTGGGCTTAGGAGGCGTGAAGAGAAACAAAGCAATGGCACAGCCTGCCAGGACCTTTATGCCTGGATCGATGGCAGCACAGCAACATTTAGGTAAGTGTGTGGAACGCACAGCCGCTAACTCACTTGATGTAGCTGCAAAAAGAGGCAGGCTGGATCCACAGTGCCAGTCAGTGTGGAAGAGAAGTCCCAGCCAGGAAGAGCCCTGAAGGGATAGCAGTACTGGCAGGGCCACTGACCAAAGCAGTGGGGCGAAGGTGGTAAGTCAGCCTTAACCTAGGCCCAGAGAACTCTGTCCAGGAGGGTGGCCCAGAAGCACAGCTTCAGTGGCACACAATGCTTGAAGTCAGTCGTTCTGGCTGCCCGGCCTTTTGGACTAGAACCCCAGTGAGAGATTTTTTTTTTTAATTTTTATTGGAGTATAGTTGATTTACTATGTTGTGTTAGTTTCAGGTGTACAGCAAAGTGAATCAGTTATACGTACACATATATCCACTCTTTTTTAGATTCTTTTCCCATATAGGCCATTACAGAGTATTGAGTAGAGTTCCCTGTGCTATACAGTAGGTCTTTATCAGTTATTTATTTTATATATACTAGTGTGGATGTGTCAATCCCAATCTCCCAGTTTATCCCTCCCCCCACCCCCTTACACCCTGGTAACCATACGTTTGTTTTCTACATCTGTGACTCTATTTCTGTTTTGTAAATAAGTTCATTTGTACCCTTTTTTTAGATTCCACATATAAGTGATATCATATATTTGTCTTTCTCTGTCTGACTTACTCCACTCAGTATGACAATCTCTAGGTCCATCCATGTTGCTTCAAATGGCATTATTTTGTTCTTTTTTATGGCTGAGTAATATTCCATTGTATATATGTACCACATCTTTTATCCCTTCCTCTGTTGATGGACATTTAGGTTGCTGCCATGTCTTGGCTATTGTAAACAGTACTGCAGTGAACATTGGGATGCATGTGTCTTTTCGAATTATGGTTTTCTCTGGATGTATGCCCAGGAGTGGGATTGCTGACCCAGTGAGAGATTGAAGGCCTGTGGGGCTGAAGGGCTCCAGACTGCAGGAAATTATGATGACAGGCAAGAAATTAGAGCCAAGATCTAATTCTCTGGATTGACCAAGAGGGGACTTAAGGAAGCCTGCAGTTTGTAGAGCCCTTCTAAACCCACAGCACTGGACTCACTTCACACACCTGCCCCCCAGCACCATGGCATTGCCATCGTCCCTCCCTAAGAAAAGCAGTGACGTGGAAGAACGTCAAAAAATATCAAAATTAAAAGGCAGGCATAAGACTGGAAAAATGTTGTAAGAAATTTAACAGTTATGATCTTTTTACAATAAAGAGTTAATATAAGTCAAAAAGCACTAAAAGTTTGTATAAGTCAGTAAAACCCCAAAAGATAAAGGGGCAAAAGACCTGAGCAAACAGTTCACAAAATAGAAAATCTAACTGGTAAATAGTCATATGGGGAAAACATTTAAACTCATTTTCAATCAAAAGAATGAAGATTAGAATATATCTTTATTACCTATTCCATTCAAGACAGCATGAAGTTCACCCATTATGCTATTCAGATCCACACCTTCATCTAAGTTCCAGGAGTCATTCCTCCAAGATTCTCGTGGGCCTCTCTCCTGGGAGAAACTTTAGAAAGGAAGCTTAGGAGGAACTACACTCCCCACCACTGAAGCTGGTCCCAGCGCCACGACTGATATTTATTGACCCCCCTCCTGCTCTGTGCAGTCTAGATTCCCCTCATCCTCTGTTCGGGGAGCCTCAATGGCTCTCTTACCTTGTGGCAGGACCCAGACCCTCATCCCTGAAGAGTGTGAGGCCTAGTCAACTTGCATTGCTTACGCTGGAGTGATTTCATTTTTCTGCTTACCATCAAAATTGGGCACATGAGTACCAACAGGTACCCAAGTAGATAACCTGGCTGTCAAACATATCTCTCCCAGCTTGTAACAGCCGAGATACCTTCGCCTCATGATTAGGGTCCTGCAAAGAGAATGACTCCTCTTCTTGCCTGCTGGTTCCTGGACACAAGAATCCCCAAATGTCCAAGTGGCAGCCATTGTTCATAGTTCAATAACACTCTTGCTGTATCTTCTGGTGGAAGGATTCCCCCAGAATATACCAGGACTTCTAAACCCACAGAGCTCAGCATTGCAGAGACAAGAAACACAAATTCCCCAAGTAAGTACTACCAGTGAAGGTAAGCAGGGCTACTCCTCCTTTCATAAGCTATAGCTTTACAAAATGTATTTCTTAAAGAATAAGACCTGAAAGTCAAAATTACTTCTTTATCCACGGGCTGCAGAATGGATGTTGTGGTACCAGGCATGAAAACGACACTAATCTCCTTGTACATCTCCATCAGAGCTCTTGGGTGACCAGGTGCATTGTCAAGGAGCAGTAATATTTGGAAACGAATCTTTTCTTTTGACAGTAAGTCTCAACAGTGGGCTTAAAATGTTCAGTAAATCATATTGTAAACAGTTGTGAGCCATCCAGGCTTTGTTGTTCCATTTATAGAGCAAAGGCAGAGTAGATTTAGCGTAATTCTTAAGGGTCCTAGGATTTTTGGAATGATCAATGAGAACTGGTTTCAACTTAAAGTCACCAGCTGCATTAGTTTCTAACACAAGAGTCATTCCGCTCTTTGAAGCCAAGCATTGACTTCTCCTCTCTAGCTACAAAAGTCCTAGATGGTATCTTCCATTATAAGGCTGTTTTGTCTACACTGAAAATCTGCTGTTTAGTTTAGCCACCTTCATGAATTATCTTAGCTAGGTCTTCTGGATAACTTGCCTCAGCTTCTACATCAGCATTTACTGCTTCACCTTGCATTTTTCTGTTATAGAGAGGCCTTTTTTCCTTAACCTCATGAACCAACCTCCGTTAGCTTCAAACTTTTCTTCTACATCCCTTGGCTCCCAGACCCCAGAATACTCTTGGATGACACAGGATGATACAAAGGTCAGTGATTCAAAATGTGCACTGTGTCTTGGAGGATGTTGGCTCATCCTCACAAAGTATTGCCTCTAAGCTAGTGCTTCAGCGGTGTTTTCAACAAGTTCCTCCATCACTCTGTCAAACTGGCAGCTTCAGGATGGGTGAATATGTGATGTGACTAGTAAATCCCCTGCCTACGCCCACATCTCCTTTGCTATAAACTAGGTTTTTTGGTCTGATGAGATCTTATTTGGAATTCTGTGCTGGTAGATCAAAGACTGTGTAAGCATTTGGATAGTGGTGCTAAGGCCTTGAGGCTAGAAAGGCAAACCCATACCCAGATTGTATGTCTATTCCTATCGACATGAATCATTGCCCCTTTCAGGATGGAAGGAGTCCAATGTAGTCAACTTGCTACCAGATTCTAGGCTTGTCTCTGTTCCCAGCAGACTGGTTGTTGGGCAGTAGCTAGATCAGCCTTGGTGAGTGGGAACGGCTACTGTTGAGCCCATGCATGGCCTCCATCCCTGCCACCATGGCTACCCTAGTATGTATCTATTATACCAGAGCTGGGGCAGCTGATAACAGGCTGGCTGACATCAACTGGCTAAGTCATTTTGTCTCCCTGGTTGTTTAGTGCCTCTTCCATGCTAGAGGCTTTTTGGTGGGCTTTAACATATGATAGATTTTCATACTTTACCCCTACTCCCATATGTCTATTCACATCACTCTATCCAAGAGCTCCTTGTCCGCAGTCTTCCACTCTTTATGCTTTTAGACTTCTAATCAACTGGCTAAGCTCTTTGCCTTTACCCCTGAGTTTTTATATAGTCTAATCTCTAATAACTTGTCTTTCTATACTAAGTGGTTAACTAGGTATATCAGCTAAGCTCTGGCCATTGGGAGGATGTTTCCTTAACACTTGATCTTTCAGAACCACCTCTGAGTGGGACTGTAGTACAGCTGCTGCCCATTTGGAGTTGTACCCCCATGCTTGGCTGACCTATCCGTGAACCAAGCTTAGGCTGCCTTTATCAGCTAGTCATAAGGGATTCCTCTATGCAGCTATAGGTGTAAGCTGAGGGACAGGCTCTGGTACAACAGTGGTAGATGTCATGGCAGTCTGCTCTACCTGTTCATACAGTGCCATCTGGTCCTAAATATACCTCTTCCATCTCGTAATGAATTGATTCCAGGCCTGCCTAATCTTTTGACTAGGTATGTCTGACAGTGTCTCTCTTACATTGAGCAAGTGGATTGCATGTTCTCTTGGTGCTCCTTGCCTAGTATCAAGCCAGGAGTTGCTTTGCAAAAGGTGATTTTTTTCTTATCTATAGATGATATGGCCTTGCTGTAGAATCTTAAGGGTTTGCATTGTGATTCTCTCATTGGAGCTTGTACAGATTCTATATGGCATTATTTTTCTCACCACTGATACCTCTAATAATAGGGTCTGATGGATCATATGGCCCAAGTGGGAAGTCTGCTTCCATCACAGCCTAGAACTGCTTCAGAGTCCTTTTCTGCTCTGGACCGCACTCAGAGACACCTGTCTTTCATGTCAACTGGTATATAGGCCAGAGCAGTATTCCCAGATGTGAAATATGCCACCTCTAGAACCCAAAAAGACCTACCCCAGGCTATGCTTCCTTCTTAAAATTATTGCAAGACACTTCAAATTATTGTGAGATGAAGTAATTTGACCTTTAATTTGAAAGGGGTGTTCTGGCATTCTCTAGATCACTAGACACCTACCCAGTTTCATGAAGTAACAGGCCCCTGAATCTTCAAACGTTTACCTCCAACCCTTGGAGCACTTGAGTCTTACTAAGGCCTCCAGTCCTTGCTCATCTGGTTCAGTTAGCGTGATGTCAGCAACATGGTGGACCAGTGTGATTTTTTGCAAGATATCCAGGCAGTCTCTTTTCACATCATATTATGACCGAGGGTAGGAAAATTAGTATAGTCCTGAGGAAAGACCATAAAGGTATACTGATGTCCATTCCAAATAAATGCAGACTGTTTTCTGATTCTCTTTCTGATACAGGTGAAAAAGAATGTACTCACCAAATCTACGTATTAGGTACCCAAGGACGTGTTAAGCAGCTCTAGCAAAGATACCACAAATGGCATAGTAGGTACAATTGAGACTTCTAGCTGGTTGAATTTGTGCTACTCCAGTGTCATCCTTCAGGATCTGCCTGGTTTTTGCAGGAGCCAGACTAGTGAATTATATAGAGATATGACAGGGAATACCATCCTTGCATTCTCTAGGTCTCTAGGAGTGGCACTACTTTCTGTCATCTTCGCCTGGATAAGATATTGTTTTCTATTTACTATCTTGGAGAGAATAGGGAAGAGTGCAGTTTCAGAGACTTCCACTTGACCTTCTCCACTATTATAGCTCTTACCCCATAAGTTTTCAATTCATATATTTTAGGACTGGGGAATGACCACTGGATGGGTCCACTGTGAGCTGGTCCTGATCTCAGAGAGACAGCAGTGAGTGGTCCTGAAGAGAGATCTTAGTTCCCTGCCCAGGAATTGAACCTGGGCAGCCTGGATGAAAACCAGGAATCCTAGCCACTAGTCCACCAGGGGCTAGAGGCTAGAAGCAAAGTTCCCCTAGCTGTTACCCCCACTGGAAAATGCGTTTCTCAAGGAGGCAAAAACTATAAAAGCAGGTACAACGTTTATTATTAGAGACACAGCATAACATGTGGGAGAGCACACAGAGAAGCAGTTCGTTTATTTAAGACAGAAGCAAGGCAGAAATACACACCTAGAGAGAAAGGGTTCGGGCATCCTCTCTAATGAGGAGCGCGGTAAAGAGGTGATTTAAATCCCTTATATAGGATAGTCCTTCTGGGTCTTTGTTTACCTTTGGCCAATTCTCTTCTTCTTTCACACCTGACCAGTCCTAGGACCCTCCCTAATATGCATGTGCGACTTTTTGCTAAGATGGATTCCACCACAGAGGCCTGTGGGGATATGTCCACACTTATTATGGGGTGGCGCCCCCTCCCTTTTTGACCCTCAAGGAGCCTTTCTGTGCATGTGCAGACAAAGAAGTTTTCCTTGACCTCAGAAGTGGTCATCTTATCTCTTTATTCCTGCAGAGCTCAGCTTCTGCCACTAGCCTTGTCCTTGGAGTGTCTGGGTGAGAACAAAGCTTCAATTTTATTCCACTTGACAAACACCAGCTGTCCTGCCCAGGGGCCCATCTATCTCCCATTTCAGTCCTGGGCCAGAACTCCATTTACTACTTAGCCTCAATATGCTCCCACTCAAAAGGGTAGTTTTAATGACACTTCAAGTCTTTGGGTATCAGTGTTGACTTGCACTCTGTGTCCAGCAGTCTTTGTAATATTTGGGTATTCCTCTTTCCCCAGCATATGGTTACTTGAGTAAATGGCCATAGGTCCCTTTGGGAGAATAGAGGAAATTACCATGGGCACCTACTGTGGTGTTGCAGGGTCTTCCTCCTTCTAGCAGTGAGTTCCAAGCCTGAAACCTGGCTCAAGTCCAGTAACTAGATGCCAGGCATAATATTCCAACCATTCCATCACCTGTGAAATAAAATAACATAAAGCCATAGGGCCAGTGGGGAGGAGAACAGACAAGCAGGAGGTCTACCAACAGGGTTGGAAAATTGCCTGGAGGTGACTAATGAGGTGCAGAGCCCAGCCCCAGTCAGGATCTCCAGCTCTCCAGACAGTGTCCAAGCAGACTTGCAAGCTCAGCTACCATCCAGGCGAATTCAACCCAGTGGATTCAGCAGAGGATTTTCCTTTTGGTGAACTGCAGCACAAGACTCAAGCAGAGCCATATGAGGGTGCTACACAGAGAGCTGTCTCTTAGCTGTCTCCTAAGGAGGGGCTCTGACAAGAGCTAGGCAGAGCAGCAGGGCTCATCTCAATAGCCGAGCATCAGGGGAGATCTGGGCCCCGGAAGGAAACTGCTTAGGTGAGTAACAGGCGAACTACAAAGCCCAGCCCTGAGTCAGCACATGGGGTGGGTGCTCGCAGCATTTAAACTATCTATGGAATCTAAGGCTTTAATCTGGTGCCCACATATCCAACTGGGTGGCAGCATCATTTAATTTCAAGTACCATTGGGGCTGCTAGTGCACCCCGTCCAGGAGCTAGGGAAACAGAGACAAGAAATCAGGCGGCAGAGGCTGAAGAAGGGCTCATCGGCCTGATGAAGTAGAAACAACTTAAAACCTGAAGAAGACTACTTGGGCCTCCCGCTTTTGCCCCCACCCCATCTCTTGCTTTGAAGCCTCTACATGTTGGAAAGTCTTGCTCAGATGCTTGAATTTTCTATCCGCTCCTCAGAGCTAGGAAGGCAGCTATGGCTGTTGAAAAGCATGGGGAGATGGAAGCAAGGCAAGCTCTGGATGAGATAAGCCATGCCTCTCTCAATGCATCTGATTTCTAAAAAAAAGAGAAACAAAACCCAGTCAGCCGAAAGCAAAAAAGAAATAAGATCATCCAGACTTGCCCTGCTGGCTGCTTTTTCTCATAATTCCTTTGCAGACATTATATGGTAATATATCCCTCCCTGCAAAGGCAAATGTCAGATGATTGATTGTGATGTCCGTATTAGAAAGCGTGGTTCTACTTACTGGAAGCACTTCAGTTCCTCCCTGTCTCTGAAGTTCCTGGCTTAGTGGAACTTGATAGGAAAACAAAGGCTTTGAAGTCTTGTGGTATCCTTCTCCAGTTGCCTCCACTCTTGACCCCTTTCCTACAGGAACTGGTATGTGGATGAGCCTTCGTGCGGCAGCGAGGTCTGCGTGGTCATGTACCATCAGCCATCAGCACCCGCCGGAATCGGGGGCCCCTACATGTTCCAGTGGAATGACGACCGATGCACCATGAAGAACAATTTCATCTGCAAATATTCCGCTGGTAATGAATCCTCTCCCAAGTTATATGGCTGAATTCTCAACCTCCTCTCTCATTTCATAAGCAGCTGCTGGTTCCAAGAATTTGTCACGTGGTCTCTGCGAAAGCTTGTTGCAAATGCCAGCAGTGTTAAACATTGGGAGTTCTTGTGAAGGGAGATGTAGTGACACTTCCTCACTGAGGAATAATTCTAGCACAGGAGAGGGGTATTAGATGCTAAGAGAAAGGATGAAGAAATGGAAGGGTCTAATTTATGTATGATAAGGCAAGAATTATGAGAACTTCAAGAAACAAAAAGCCCTCCAAGTGGACAATTATAATTCTTATTCCTTCGAGATATGAGATTGTATGCTGTAAGAGCTTGGAATACAGTAAGTCCCTACATACGAACCTTCAAGTTGTGAACTTTCAAAGATGCAAACCTACGTTTGCATGTCCAGTCCCGTAAGTTAGTTCACGTGTCTGGCGTACATTGTCACATGCGCACATCCTCCACAAGTGGTTGTGCTTTTGTGTACTTTAGTGTACAGTACTGTATAGAGTATAGTAGTACAGTATCTTTATTTCAAGCCCAGGATGTCCTGAAGCAAGTGTAAAAGCAGTGGCGATGCAGCTGGTACTGTACTTTACCGTAAGATTTAAAATGTACTGTACTGTAAGATTTTAAATGTTTTCTGTTTGTTTTTTATGTATTATTTGTCCGAAAAGTATTATAAGCCTATTACAGTACAGTACTATATAGCCGATTGTGTTAGTTGGATACCTAGGCTAACGTCGTTGGACTTACAAATGTGCTCTCCGAACGGAACTCATTCATATGTAGTGGACTTACTGTAAAGAAGAAATATGAAAGGAGGCTGGCCATTGTTCCTGCAAGTCTTCTACCAGCCACGTGACATTATTTTCTGGGGCTTTAAGGAAACAGAATAATGACCAGAGGAGGTAGATGATAAAATACACCAATTTTACTGACACTGGGCAGATAGAAGTCACTTTGATGAGCAGGGCATCATCCTGCTCCGTAGAGCACCCTCTAAATACATGCCTTGCAAATTTAATTGACGTTTGCTTCTAAATCTGTGAAGGGTTTTGAATTGGCTACAAGCCTGTAGTCTCACTGTGCTGAGGTTTCCCAAACTCCTCCATTATGTTGGACTTTGATCTAAACGTGAAGTGATTTTTGATCTGTTATGGAAGTTTCTCACCTCCCTGAAGCCAACTGCTTGACCCCAATTCTACATCCTTTCCTGACAGAAGTAGAATGACTTGTTAGTTACATCTATTGAGGGACTAAACAATCCTGTCATTTTTAAATTGTCTGAATTTGACTGTGCTTTTGCTGCTAAAGTTGTTTTTCCTCCCTCTTCACCCCTTCGGATGAATTCTCTCCAAAGACCTGGCCTTCCCCACCATACAGAGTTGTCTCAGGCAGGGAGGTTGCAAGGACTGGGGCTGACTTAGCAGGGCACATTTTTAGAGCAATTAAAACAAGGCGCTTGTTACAAACTGGCTGCCCATCACTTTTGTTCCTCATATCCTATTATCTCCATGATTTAAAATGTTGTACTTCTTAAATATTTTCTGAAATGTGAGATTTTGACATTTGTTTTCATAGCCTTTTATTTTTGTACTTTGAACCTAGTTAGGTTTTGTTTTTAATCATAATCTTTATTAATTTTGCTACTGCCTGATTTAGACTGAGTCCTGGCAGGAAAAAGGTGGCACACTCAAAGGGTTTAATGAGAAGAGTATAATAAAATGATGTTTGCCAAGATGTGGGCACAGAGCATGAGATGGTGAAGTGCCCAGGAATTAGCTACAATGGGAAGTTGTTACTACCCCCAGGTTTCAAGGAGCAAAGGGGAGGGACTCCAGAGAAAGCTTGGAGTTATGGAAGAGGAGCCGCCCAATAGGAGCTGTAACCAGAGAACGCAGCTACTGTCAAACCACAGTGACGTGCGAAGGGGGCCTGGGGAATAACTGCCAGGACCCCTCTCTTCTCCTACTCTCTAATCTCTTGCTTCTGCCTCCTACTGGTTAAGTCCAATCAAGAACCAAAGGACAGGACTTCCCTGGTGGAGCAGTGGTTAAGAATCCACCTGCCAATGCAGGGGACATGGGTTTGAGAAGGTCCGGGAAGGTCTTTCCTGGTCCAGGAAGATCCCACATGCTGTGGAGCAACTAAGCCCACACGCCGCAACTACTGAGCCTGCGTGCTGCAACTACTGAAGCCTGCATACCTAGAGCCCATACTCCACAACAAGAGAAGCCACTGCAGTGAGAAGCCCACGCATTGCAATGAAGATTAGCCCCCGTTCTCCCCCTCTCTGCAACTAGAGAAAGCCCGCGTGCAGCAGCGAAGACCCAACGCAGCCAAAAAAGAGCAAAAGGACAAGGGAGCCGCAAGACACAGTCCATAGAGTTCAGCCTCCAGGACACAGAGAAGGACCAAGAATAGATCCAGCAGAGAGAAATGGGCACACAGAGAAAGACTAACACATTGCCTTTACGTGGCCCCCCTCCTCAGAATAAGTTCACACACCTCAGCACGCCATAAAAAATTGCCTTGATCAGACCCTTGCCTGTCTCCAGCCCCAGTTCTTACCACTCTTATTCCTCCCCGATCCCATTCCCCTCTGCCCCCTGTGAAGTTCCCCAAGAGCTCTTAACTGCTGTTTCCAGTGCTTGGAACACCCTTCCCTCTTTCCTGGTCAGCTCATTCTCAGCCTTCAGGTTCAGGTTAAACATCACCTTCTCTCATCACAACCAAGTGCAGTAGGTGATCCTTGATGATAATGATGATGATGACAATGGTGATTTTCTATAAGGGGCGTTATTAGGACAATCTGCAGAATTTGAATAAGATCTGTCGATTGGTTGATATATATATCAATGTTGATTTCTTGGTTTTGATAATTGTACTATGGTTATGTTGGAGTATTGCCCCCCTCCCATCTTAAATACACACTGAAGTATTAAGGGAGTAAAGGGTAACTACGGCTGCAACTTATTCTCAGGAAAAAAGTTATGGATGCGTCTGTATGTGAATATATATGTGTGTATGTATGTGTGTGTGTACAGATTTAGATATAGACTTGTAGATATAAATATATAGGATATATATAAAGAGAGAGAGAGAATAATCATATAAATGAAACGTGATAAAATGGTAACATTTTGGTGAAGGATACATGGGAATTCTTTGTACTAGTCTTGCAAATTTCCATAAATCTGAAATTATTTCCAAATAAGAAGTTTTAAAAAATCACTTCCTCTGGGAAGCATCCAGGGCCCCTCAAAACTAGGTTAAGTGTTCCTCCCATGAGGCTCATAACACCTCACACACACAGTACTTTAACTGCCTGTTTACAAGTTTGTCCCCTTCACTATATGGTTGGCATGAGGTCTGGAAATACACATGTTTGACCAGTTAATCCCTGCGCTTGATGGGCTAGGGGAAGGTCACCCAGTATGGTTGCAACAGGATGGCACAACATCCCATTATACCAGAGGGCAAGGGACAGGTTGAAAGATAGCATCTAAAACTAGATTTGACAACATGACCACATAGAGTAGGTGGTATGCTAGCCAGATCTGATCACTTGATTCCACCTGGGGTGTGCTAAAGGCATAGATGCGTTCAGTGGAAATCAGAGACAAATCATCTGAGGCCATGTGTCACAGACCATTGCAGCAATGGATGGAAGTGCTGCGTTAATTTGCCATGTTCACTGCAGTTTTGCCCAGTGGATTGAACTATGGAGGGGCAAGAAAATGACTACCTCGTGTAATGTCTTTGAATATATGATGTATTGCAATATATCACAAAATTCATGTGTTAATATTCTCCTGTACTTCCCCATCCTGTATAATATAAGTTCCTTAGAGGGCTGGGACTACTTTTCACTTGCTGTTGTATCTCTAACACCTAGCACAGAATTTGTCTCCTTGTGATTTTAATTTTTCATTTGAATTTTTTAAATTAAAATCCCAGTTCAGTTACTTATTAGCTGTGAGATTTGAGCAAGGTGTTTAATCTCCCTGTACCTGAGTCTCCTTGTGTGCAAATTCAGAACCGCACTCACCTCATCAGGCTCTTATCAGGATAAATTGTGTTTGTTTTTAATAAAACATTTAGAGCATGATGCTGTTTCTATCATAGAGCAGACATTTTTAATAAATGAATGGATTTGCATCATCTCTACACACACACACGCTTAAAAGTTTCCTTTCTGCATAAAACTTCAGAATAGCTTTGACATCCTGGCCTTAGGACTGTGAATTCTAAAATTTTGACCTTATGGACCCTGACGCTCTGAACCCAGAGCATCTGATCAGTGTAGAGTCACCGCCAGTACAAAAGGCTGACACACTTTCAGCCAAAAGTAAAAACATTGATGTAGGTCGTCTGTGCAGCTCGACTATCCTGAGGCTCTTAGAAATATTTTAAATGACTCGTGTTCTAGGTCACCAGGCTCTGCCTTGGGGCTGGCCATGGTCTCCTTAGTCCCGGGCCACTTCCAATGCTTGGAGATCAGTATTTGTTGCTCTAAAATATCCCCAATAGGAATTGATCAAGTGTCTTGGATTGCTTTACAACAGCGCAGGCCTGGGTGTAGCCGGGGAGGAGTGGGGATTATTGTTGAAACCAGATTAGCCATATGTTCCTAAGAGTTAAAGCTGCATGATGGTACATAGGGGTTCATTACACTGATCTTTCCACTTTTGCGTATATTTGGAAATTCTCGTATTTAAAACTCTTAGTTTTAAAACTAAAAAGTTTACTTTTTAAAAAAGAAAAAGTGCCCAAGTAAAACTGGGGAAAGGCTAGTCTTTGTGCAGAAGAGATTCTTCGGACTTACTAACCTGGTTTCTAGTGTCTGATAATACTAAATGAAATTTATTGGACAACTGAATGAACAAATAAATGGATGCCATGCTCTGGCCATCTTCATTCAGATGGCATGGAAATTTACTTATTGCTCTCATTCTTGTTTCTTTCTGCTATAGAGAAACCAACAGCTCCTTCTACAAGGCCTGGAGGTAAGACTGTCAATTGAGATTTGAGTTAATTTGGGTTGTTTCACAGCTTTCGAAGCTTTTCACAGGTTTAGAACCACGTGTTCTTTAAACCAGATTATTCAGCAGAAAGACCACTGGTGTTAACCCTGACCCTTTGGACAGGTATATGCCACACTGGACATGGCCAGTAGTTCATTAATCTCACTAGCGTTGTCTTTCTCTCAAATATCTGAAAAGTAATAGTTGCAAATTCAGTTTGGGATGTTACTTGTCATTACTGACAATATGAAAGGAATAATCCAGTCTAATGATCCAAGAAGCAAGTCAAACTGATAATTTATGGTCCTAGAAGTGAGTTGTTGGCCCTTCCCCTTGGCACTTCAGTACGTTATGGGCCTTGATGTCAGCTGCCTGCTGGTTGTGTCCGTACATGATTCTTCGCAGCAAGTCTCACCAGAAAGATAAAGACAAGTAAACCTCTAGGTCAGCAAATTCAATGCTTTTACTTCCCTGGGTTTATAAATGGCACTGGTCACAATGCTGGTGCTTTTTGGCATCCCACCCTGAAGCTGGTAGGACCTCAGAGGATATCTGGATTTTGATGCCTTTCTCCAGGTTCTCAAGTCCATGTGTCTCTCTCCAGGTGAAGGAACAGAGACAGCAATGCCCATACTTCCAGAAGACACAGAGAAAGAAGATGCCACAGAAACACTGAAAGAAAGCAAAGGTATGTACAGAACTCTCCCAGAGAAAAATAGATAATAGGACTCTCCTGATCACGAATTCCCCATGATTATATACCCTACTTTGTTCTTTCCCACAGCAACTTAAAAATGGAACCAGACAGAGCACTTATGACTTTGTAAAAACCGCATTATATGTTAGATTTTGTCAGTGAAATACACAAATGGAGCTATCCTAAGACAATTGGGGCGATTAGACAAGACAGGAGGTAAAAAAAGATCTGCATGAAGACAGATGAGGCTTGAGAACCTCCCAGAAGTTGTCTGGGGGGAGGGGAACTAGAGAATGGATGTAGAGAAATAAGAGCAGAAAGACCCAGGCCATGATTAATATTTCTTTACGAGACAAATAGAGGAAATGGACATAAAAGATAAAAGAAAATGGAGTGATAAATTGGAGTGCTAATGGACTTTCAACCTCAACTCTCACCTCGAGTTTCAAGAGGGAGATCAGGGCTGGTTACTAGCCTTATCATGGTGATCATTTCATAATGTATGCAAATGTCAAATCAGTATAGAATACATCTGAAACTAACATAATATTATATGTCAACTATATTTCAATTAAGACAAAAAAGAAAGATCTGAGTTTTGTCACTGGGCAAATTTTTAAAAAACACTTAATTTTTCAGTTTAGTTATTTGCATAATAGAAGTAATAACATTTTTCTCACCTACCTGAGAGCATTTCTGTGTCCATAAAATGAAACAGGATAGTGCAGTACTGCAATTCAGTTGTGACACTAGCCACCCCATGTTAGCACAGACCCTACAGGTTAAGGGCTCAGTCCCCATCAAGACTGCCCTCACTTCAGATATCAGCCACAAGTTCAGGGGTCCCCAGTCCACCCACACTTCTAATCAACTGGCTACAATTCCAGGGAGTGCCCCATCGCGTTCAATAATTCACTAGAACAACTTACAGAACTCAGGAAAACACCATACCTATGACTATGTTTTATTATAAAGGTTACAAATCAGAAGCAGCCAGGTGAAACACATACAGTAAGGTCTGGGAGGGTCTCGAATGGGGACTCTCTGTGTCCTCTCCCTGTGGAACCAGGATGGGTAATCACCTTCCTGGCAAATCAACGTGTTCACCAGCCGGAAGGCTCCACCGCGCTTTGGTGTGCAGAGATTTTCTTAAGGTCTCATTACGTAGCACAGTTGATTTGATCGTTGGCCGTGTAATTGAACTCACCCCCTAGGCCCCAACAGCCCCCATCCTGAGACATCTCTGTCAGTATAAACTCTGATCTGGTCTGAACGGCTCATGAATAAGGAAGTTACTCCTATTTCCGAGAAATTCCAAAGATTTAGAGCCTCCCGCCCAGGTACCAGGGACAAAGCCCAGTCAAATTCTTTATTATACAACAGATGTAATGTGTGAAAATGCTTTTTAAAAAATCCAAAGTGCTGTGCAGCAGTGGGTGGCATTTTTATTGCTCATTGTTACTACGGTGGTATTTAAAGTAGGTTTTGTTTGGAGGGTTTTTTTGGTGGTTGTCAGGTTTGTAGCCTCACAGAAAAACAAAGCCACGGCCTCTGGATGGTTGAGAATCTTAACCAGTAGGAGTAGGAAAGGGATCAGTCCCCAATCATTGATTCCTCCCAAAGCCCCTTGAGGGAAAATTCTCTGGTTCTAAGACTTAAGTCTTAGGAAAGGTAAGGATGGTAGATCTCTAAGTGCCCTCCGCAGTCGCTGCTCATGGGCCCAGCTGGATCCAGTTAGCGGTCAGAAACGTCAGTAAGGCTCTACAGTCTGATTCATGTGTTACACGTGACCTTCTCATTCCTGGCAATAACACCGAGACTTCTGGCTTGTTTCTTTTTTCCTCCCTCTCCCCGATCCCACCTTGGAAACTACTGTTTCTGTCCTTAGAGTCAAAGACACCAGCACCCCCAAGCAGCCTCATCTTTGTTAACAAAGAGGAAGAATGAGAAAAGAGATAACCTCTTTCGTCTGAAAAAAATTCTTAATTAACAAAACTGCCCATCTTATATTTGCAAGAAACCCAAAAATGTAAACTTCTTTTCTCTCTGTTACTTCAGATAATAGGACAGGTAGAAAAGCCTCATTTATTGAAACTGGAAGACTTTGCTGTCTGGGTAACCATATCTGTTTCCTTCCAGAATGCGCTCCTTGGAATGCTCTGTGTTGATTATGCTTTTTTAAGTCTGTTTTGAAGCACACAGAAACACCACCAGTGCTGATAAAGTGTGCTTTTCTTTTCAGAAGCTGCCTTGAATCTTGCCTACATCCTAATCCCCAGCGTCCCCCTTCTCTTCTTTGTGGTCACCACAGGTGTATGTTGGGTTTGGATCTGTAGAAGGAGGCAAGTAAAACCTTCATCATGTAAACCTTTGTGTTTTCTGAACTCTTCAAGATTTGGACTTCATTAACAGCCACGGCAGCTCCAAGACAATCACTTCTACAGATTTGAGAGTAAATTTTCTGATGGGCTCAGGGCACTCAGAAGTACTAAGCATTGTGCTTAGCTATGATTAAGAGAGTGATCTTACATTCTTTAATTTTTGTGTGTGTGGAAGATTTTAAACGACTTGAGGGGTGAGACTGTGTTATTCATCTGTGCATCCACACATCACTCAGCAAAGTGCTCTCATGCATGTATGCGCTCACTCCAGGAATGCTTGTTGGGTGAGTGAAGGAATGAATAGTGAGCCCTTTGAAAACGACTGTTCCAAAGCCTGGCAAACCACTGAAACTAAACCACTTAATTCAAAATGAAATAGCCAAATCCTTTTAATTGACTTTTAATTGAATTCACAAGTGTAGATTGCTACAAAATAGCTGCACTAAGTAGCCTAAAGCACCTCTGTTAGTGGATCATGTGCCACCATTGTTGAGGTAACCAGAGGTCTTCTCAGCTACCTTTTTATTCCCCATCATCATGGTCTACATAGAAGAAGGAAAGCAAAGGTGCAGTTTAAGACTTGACTCCCTTTGATGACCAATTTGAGATAAACTAGTAAGATTCCAATGAAGATCCTGCTTCATTTAATTATAACTTCCTTATAGGATTATTAGAAGAATTAAAGCAGTTAATATATGCAGAATGAGTATATAGTAAGCACTCAAAACTGTTATCTCTTCCTATGATCATTTTCATTAGTTAAGTCCTTTTAACCTAAAAATAGAGTTCAGTTCAAAAACTTGCAAATATATTTTCTAACTGCTTACTCTGTGGTTGGGTCTTGATTTCCCTCCCTTACCTATCTATTTAGCACCTCACCACAATGTGGGATTGTGGCTTTGAAGCTGGAGTCTGTCTCGGGGTTTTAACCATTTTTGTGCCACAGACCCCTGTAGCAGTCTGGTGAAGCCTACGGATCACTTCCCAGAACAATATTTTTAAATGCATAAAATAAATCACACTGGATTACAAGGGAAGGAATAATGCTGTTATATAGTTTAGCAAAATATCTCCAACAACTAATGTGAAACGGTAATACACGTGCTCCTTTATTAATGCTTCTTTATTTAGTGGTGAGTATAAGTATCATAATACTGAAGTAGAGATGAGCATAAAATATTTTAAGACATCTTAAGTCATAACTGTGATGTGATATGAAAATATCTATGATTTCCGTTGGTGAACAAGTCAAGACATTACTAGTGGGAATTCCCTGGTGGCCCAGTGGTTAGGACTCCGTGCTTTCACTGCCGAGGGGAGCTAAGATCCCACAAGCCGAGTGGTGCAGCCAAAAAGAAAAAAACAGAAACAAAAACAAAAAAAGCTATTACGACTCAGGTTAACTGCCCACATTCAAAACTGAAGGACAAGCTCAATTTCACTTAGAGATGGATTTTTTTGAATGTGGTATTTTCCCCCATGCAATTCTATCCATGGACCCTCTGGAGGCTCTGGGGATCCCAGAGTCATCACCTCCGTTCTGTGCTCTGGCAGCAGTGAGTGATAGATACATAACAACACTTTCCTCTTTTATTCCCACCCCACCCGAAACCTTGACCTGTAGGTTGAGGCAGGTGAGAAGTGCAGTGTAGTGACTGCCCAGAATGACCCCCTCCTGCCTGCACAGGGGCACCGGGATGTTCTCAGTCCCCTTGTCCACTGAGCCCTGGTTCTCTTTACTCCTAGGAAACGGGGGCAGCCAGGCCCCAGCACGAAGGAGCAGCGCCCCACCTGGCCCGCTCCTCAGCCGGGGAACAGCCCGGACCTAGAGGTTTACAATGTCATACGAAAGCAGAGCGAAGCTGATCTAGCCGAGACCCGGCCGGACCTGAAGAACATCTCATTTCGAGCGCGCTCGCGAGAGGCCACTCCCGACACTGTGTCCTGTGACTATGACAACGTGGCCATGAACCCATCCGAAAGCGGGTTCGTGACGCTGGTGAGCATGGAGAGTGGCTTCGTGACCAACGACGTTTATGAGTTCTCCCCAGACCGAGTGGGAAGGAGCAAGGAGGCCGAGTGGGTGGAAAATGAAATATATGGTTATTAGGATGCACGAACGAACCCTGAACTGACAAGAATGGGAAAGAAGAGAGAAGCAAAAGTCTATTTTCTGTAAGGAAAACACTCAGAAGGTCTGTGAAAGTGCTCAGCTCAGGTCCTGGAGGTGAGCATGAGATCCCCTGTTGGATCTGCAGTTTGGGCTATATCCCTTATCCCAGTCCCTCACCTGGCTGGAACTTCTGAGAAAGCACCTTGTCCAGCGTCTGGCACATAATAGAAAATAAACAACTGATTGTTACAACTGACTTTCAAGGGACAGTGCTTTCACTGGCGGGTGGGGTGGGGGTGGGGTAGTTACTGTGGAGCTTGGGAAACCAGCCTCTAGGTTCTGTTTCTCTTGCTCTGTACAGCAGCAAACATCATCACAAAGAGACAGAAAGTACAGAATCTTTTCAAAGCCCGCCTATGCCAGCCTTGAGCTGGGCTGCGCAACAGCAATTCTTATATCTATTTTTTTCAAAGAATCAAATCAAATAAAAAGCAGGAAACAGAATGTTAGTCAGTCTGTGTCTACAGCCCTTCTTCTGCATGTGGCCTCTGGGGACCGTTTTTTCTTTTTCCTGACATCCAAACTTGGAAATGTCTAACTTGGAAACACTTTAGAAACTGAAAATGAAGTTTGAATCTAGGCTTCTCGGCTTATTTGTGTTCCCAGCCCTGTTACCGCACGTTGTTCTGTTTGTGTGTTTGTTTTACTGCAGCATCAACATAGTATTAGTAATAATGCTAATTATTTTACATTTTTGTTTTCGGGATCTGACTATTTCAAAAACTTTTGGACTCAAATGCAGAGAAAAGTCACCTAACATCAGTCATTTACCAGACGAAGTTCTGAAGGTCATTATTTAAATCACCAACAACATCCCTCTATCAGCTTAATAATCTTAGTATTTTAACCATTCCTCATATGTCTTGTTTTTGAATAGTTTGTAACTTTGCCTGACACATGGAGCCCCAATCTAGACAGAGTAAGCTCGTCTGGGTCGGAGCAGTATCAAATGTAGTGGATTCTAAGCAATGCCAATTACCTGCCTTACCAAGGCAGGGAGCAGGGGGGAAAACAAAAACATCATTTATGCCTGCTTCAGGGAAGTGTGTTCTGTGGCGTTAACAATATTGCAAGCAAAAAGAGTGACCATATAGTCTGAAGGACTGATTCATTGTCCAAAACACTGAAGTTCCCACTTTGCATCCGACTTCCTGGCTCTGTGATCTGTGCCTTTATCCGCCCCGGTTCCCCTATGCTCTGGCCCCTACTAGGCTGCAAGCACCATGAAAGTAGGGATCCAATCTGCCCTGCCAGCCATATACCTCCTGCACCCAAGACAGTGCCCTGCGTAGAGTAAACCATCAATACTCGTTGGACGGATGAACAGTTCCTCTTTCAGAGTGATGTAAAATTACCCGCGTATTTCAGCTTAAAAGTTTGTAGGACCCGATTTTCACACTCTACCTGGATGGGGGGAGGATATTGAGTTATTTTAGTTTGAAAAGCACTCCAACTGCCTGGGAAGAAGGAAGCATTAGTAACAAGTAAACAGAAGCTAGTTAACAACTTAATTATGTCACTAAAACTTAAAATGAGGACCCATTCTTAAGGCTATAATCAGAGCTAACCCTCTGCATCTTCCTTTTGTCATTAGTGTCTTGTCTCCGCTGGGACCCACAGGTCTCTTATTCTGTGTTTGCACACAGCCAGTCATACCCTGTATTTACATTATTCAATTTCTTTTTTCCTCCTCAGATTTCTTAGCTTGAATTTAGCCAACTCCATTTCTATCTCTGATTAATTACACTTCACCAGTTTAACAAGCAGTTGTTAAATGTGAAGCATTATGTCCAAACTGAACGTTGAGCTTACCCGTCCTGGTATCGTTTGAAAATTTAGTTAACCTCATTCATCATTTAAAACCGTAGTTTCCAGCTTTTTTTTTTCACTGTGACACACAATAGATGAAATGAATGTATCAGATAATTCCTTGGATCTATCCATTTAAAAATAATTTCTTGAATACCTACTACGTGCCTGCCACACACTGTGCCAGATGTGACACAGCCGGATGTCAGGCTAAGGCTTAGACAAGTGGGATTGTAGGTTATGTACATTTCCCAACATGGTATTTATAAAGTGCTTTTTTTTTCTCCTGTTATATGTTCATTCATTCATTCAAAAAGTTTTCACATACGTACTTTGTGTCAGGGAATACGCTAAGGTCTAGGCATATAATGGTAAATAAGACAGACACAGGCTCCATCCATGGAGCTTACATTCTAGTAGGGAATGAAGGCACATCAGAACACAAGTGAGTGAAAGAGAATTTGCTGTAATCAGTTTTTGTTTTTTTTTAAATTGTGTGCAGCTCTTTCTAGTCTCCCTCCCCTTTCCCTTCCCTTCCCTTCTTTCCTGTTCTTTAACCCTTCGGTCCTAAAGCCATTAGGCAAGTCAGAGGAAGGTAGCATCCATGTCCAGGGACATGGGGGGACTTGGTGACTTAGATCAGAGTGTCACGGCAGAGCAGGATGAGGAAGATGTCCATGCAGAGCAGAAGTCTGGTTCGGGTGTGGCCCAAGTGAGTGAGGAGGCATCCACACAGGCCGAGGGGCAGCAGCTACGATGGGAGATGGGCTGCACAGTGGCGTTGATGAAACAAGTAAGCATGCTAAGGGTAAGGAGTGCCAGGCTTCTCGCCATCAGAGAAGGGAGTTGCAGATATGAAAAAAGAGAAAACTGGAGTGGGCTCCGTGATATTAGATTGAAATTAGAAATATCGGTGTGATCTCATGATTTTCAATATACCATGTATATATATACATATATCCTCTAGCTGGCACTCAGATCTTGGCTTCTAAATAACATTCTCCAGTAAAATAAACCAGGGCTTCTTTTTTTTTTTTATTCAATACTCCAGTTCCTTCATGGTTTTGGTTTTTTGTTTTCTTTGTTTTTTGTTTTCTTTGTTTTTATCAAAGGGCTCCTTTTTTAATTGAAGTATAGCTGAATTAGAAAAGAGCTCCTTGAAAAAATTGCTGATTCCATGGCCAGAGTGGGGACAATACTAGATTAGCTTGGAAAAATTTTTCGTGCAGGAAAGCAAGGAAGTATCCAAGAATGATGGATATGTGTCAGCAGATCACAGGAGCCAGCTTACAGTGGGCAGCATTGGCCAAATGTGGGGTAATTTCAGCATCAAAATAAATAATTATAGTGATAGATTATAAACCATTGGATAAACAGGAAACCTTACTGACATAAAATAATAAATGAATAACCTAATAGTGGATTGCAAACTGTAGAAAGAGTTACCAGATGAAGGCCTAGGAAATAGCATGCCCAGAGATGGAAAAGCAACAAAGCCAATTCTGTACACCCCCTCCTTTTTTTTCCTTTAAAGAATAGTAAGTGGTTAGTAATTGCTAACTAATCTCTTTATTTTTGAATCCTGAGTTTGAACAGCAGAATGAAATAATGTCTATACTGAGTCACCGGAGCAAGGGCATCAGGAGAAACCAGTTTTTCAAAATAGAATAAGAACAGGTAGGGCTTTCCTGGTGGTCCAGTGGTTAAGACTCCATGCTTCCACTGCAGGGGGTAAGAGTTCAATCCCTGGTCGGGGAACTAAGATCCCACGGGCGGCACAGCCAAAAGAAAAGACCAAGTATAGGTTTCAAAAATACAAAGTTATTAAATATGTATTATCACAGAATAGACACTAAAGAGTTTTCTATCAATATAATGAGTTATATACTTTAACTAGCAAAATTTAGCCCATCAAGGGCTCAAAATTTGTGCTATTCCATTCTTATTTTTTCTCTTATGGCTTGTGTTTGGTGCAAGGCAATATCAAGCAGAGTCCATACTTGTTTGGCTGAACTGTTGTAATTAGAGGAAAATGCCAGTGAACATTTCATGTAAGACAACTTTTGCTAGGAAGTTAGAAGCTGCTTTAATTGTTTCCACCACCAGGTGGCAGTGTTAGGGTACCATAGAAATTTTACTTACTACTGTACTGATGTTTATTGGTTACTGACAAGTGACTTTCTGCAACTATAAGGGAAAGGGAAGTAAAAATGATATAAGGAGAAATAAGACAGTACAATGAAGTAGTTAAAATCCTGGGTTCTAGAAGCAGAGTGTCTAGGTTCTAAATCCTGCTTCTGCCACTTACTGGCTGTGCAATCTCGAACAAACTACTATATTACTTAAGCCTCATTTTCCTCATCTTTAAAATGAGGGTAACATTACCTACCTAAAAGTGTTGTGAGAATAAAATCACGAATATATTCAAAGCATTGACACATGTTAATGTGTTGAATTGCGTCCACCAAAATTCATACGTTGAAGTCCTAATCTCCAATACATCAAACTGTGACCCTCTCTGGAGATAGGGTCATTGCAGACATAATTAGTTCACAAGAATGAAGTTATTCGGGTGAACTCTAATCCAATATGGTCAGTGTCCTCTTAAAAAGGGAAAACTTGGACACAGACACTCACAGAGGGAGAGCATCATGTGAAGATGAGGGCAGACTTGGGGTGATGATTCTACAAGCCAAGGACCACCAGAGATGGCCAGCAACCACCAGAAGCTAGGGGAGAAGCATGGAACAGATTCTGCCTCAGAACCCTTAGGAAGAAGCCAACCCTACCAACACCTTGATCTCAGACTTCCAGCCTCCAAAACTGTGAGACAATACTCTTCTGTTGTTTAAGCCTCCCAGTCTGTGGTACTTTGTTACAGCAGCCTTGGGAAACAAACAGCACATGAAAAGTACTAATTCATATTAGCTGTTATTAGCCCTGAACACTTTTAATATAACTGTACCAAGGCAACAAAACCATTTCTACTGTAAATTAAAGTGCATTTTCCAGCTGTCAGGGATTTATATCCTACACACACACACACACACACACACACACACACACACACCACCCAAATCATGACATACTATGGAGCAAGAGAGAGCAAAACTCCCAACACAGGGAGGGGGATTTCAGTGACACACAGGAAGATACCTGCTAACAATGAGAATTATAAGGTCTTCATTCTCTGAGGAAGCTCATACAGAGGCCACATGACCCCCGAGAGGGGGTAGGATTTGGAGCCCTGTGGTTTTGAGCTTCCCAGCCACACCCTATAAAACTGTTAGTTCTTAGCAGAGGGGGACTCCTGCTGGTTGGAGAGTTGAATTTAATAACTGTAGCATCACTCTTCATCTCAGGGCATGAATTTCAGTCATTTTCCTTT